CAGAGTTCTCTGAACATTTGTGATGCGAACTGTGGTCCTCTGTCGGAGATAACTTTGACAGGTAATCCAAACCGTCGGAATACATGATTCTGATATAGGGTAGCTGTCTCGGATGCTGTGACTGTCTTATTACAAGGAATGAATACCGAAGCCTTGGTGCAGTCATGATCTGTAATCACTAGGCAACTGTCAAAGTCATTACTCCAAGGTAGATCCATGATGAAGTCCATGGCGATAGATTGGAATGGAAGATGGTGTTCTGTGGTAATGGGTGTTAGATCCGGTGAGTTCCGATGTGTGATGACTTTATTCTCTTAGCAGGTTGCGCATCCAGTGACGTATTCACTGACATCTCGCGCAAGAGTGGGCCACCAATAGGTTCTTTGTAAGATCTCCTGAGTCTTGTATCGCCCTGGGTGTCCTGTGGTAGGAGAATCATGGGCTTCCTGAATGAGATCTTGTCAAAGTTTGGCGTCCTTGGGTATATAGACTCGTCCTCTGAATATTAGTAGGTCATCCTGAATATCCCAATTTGGAGGATTACGCTTGTCCGTGGAAGAAGTGTGTTGTAAGACCAGTCGAAGTCCATGATCAGCAATGCCGTCCTTGGTTTTGCAGGTCAAGATGCGATGTTTAATGTTGATGTTGACAGGTTCGGTGTTCTGAATGGCTTGGATGAAGATTTCTGATGGAAGAAGGACTTCTTCCACAGGAAGATCACCCCCCCCTTCAGACGCATCTTGATCAATACGTGATAGTGCATCGGCTTTCCCCAAATGGGTTCCCGGGACATGGCGAAGGCGATAATTGAACATAGATAGATACAGTGCCCATCATGCCTGTCTGGGATTCAATTTCTGAGGATCTTTGAAATACGTCAGATTCATATGATCTGTCAAGACTTCGACTGGTTTGGTGCATCCTTCAATGTAGTGCCACCAGGCTTTGAAACATCTGATGATTGCCAGGAGTTCCCGATCATAGATTTCATATTGTTGTTCTATGGGAGAGAACGACTGGGACAGGAACGCACATGGGTGCCATCATTCATCAGATTGTTTCTGGGAGAGGATGCCGCCAGATGCTTTCAGGGAAGCATCTGACTCTATTTGAAAAGGTTTGGTGACGTCAGGCTGTACCAGAAGCAGTCGGGTTTTGAAACTTTCTTTCAATTGACTGATAGCTTTGTTATGATCATCAGTCGAATCCCACTTGACTCTTTTCACCAGTAGATCAAATAGAGGTCTCGCTACTTTGGAATACCCAGGAATGAATCGTCGGTAAAAATTGGCAAAGCCTAGGAAGCGTTGTAATGCTTTGATGCTGTCAATTTTTGGCCAGTTTAGTACTGCTGATACCTTGTCTTCTGCCATCCCTATATGTCCCGGTCAGAGAATAAATCCTAAGAATTCAACTTCTGATACGTCAAAGAAGCATTTCTCGGGTTTGAGGAAGAGATCCGAGCCTTTCAATCGTTGAAGGACTAGTTGAGTGCATTGTTGATGCTCCGAGTAATCAGTGGAGTAAATGAGAATGTCATCAATGTAAATTACTAGCCATCCTTCTAGTAGTAGATCCGCAAAGATGCCGTCTATCATGGCTTGAAAAGTCGCTGGAGAGTTTGTCATTCCAAAGAACATGACCATGGGTTCAAATAATCCTCTTGGCGTGATAAATGCTCCCTTCCATTCATCACCTTCCTTGATGCATACATTGTTATATCCTGCATGTAGATCAAGCTTGGTGAATATTGTTGGTTTGGCAGAGGCAACGCGATCTAACAGATCTTCTACTCGTGGTATAGGATAGGCGTTCTTGATGGTGGCGTCATTGAGTTTCCTGTAGTCTTGACAGGGTCGGAGATCTCCAGATTTTTTATTGATGAAGAAAAATGGAGATGCCATAGGAGACTTTGATGGTTGGATGTAGCCTTTCCGTAGATTTTCTTCAATGAAGGTGTCTAGTTCTTTGAGTTTGGCTGGTGACAGTGGATAAACCTTTCCTCGCTGAGGTTTAAAGGTCGCTTCTAGATCGATCACATGATCCCAGGGTTTTCTTTCTGGTAACCATTCCGCTGTGTTTTTGTTAAACACAGAGAGAAATTTCTCCAGATACTTCGGAATGTTGCTGGCCAGGGTTTTGATGGCTCGTAGAAGTTGATCCCAACAAAAGCGCATTTTCCCAGTGATCCAGTCAATTACTGGATTGAAACATTTGAACCATGATAGACCTAGAATGATCGGATTCCTATCCAGTACTGTGGCGTAAGCTTCTATCTTCATGGGTTGTCCTGATAGGGATATGGTGAAGAAGACCTTGTGTTTGATGGCTGCGGCTTTATTAGGTGATCCATCAACATTGAACACAGGCCTTGGTGGTATACTCTGATGCTGGAGGTTATGATCTCGAGCAAACTGGATGTCAATGTAATTGTCCATTGCTCCAGTGTTGAGCAATGCCTTGGTGGTGACGGTTTTAGCATAGGTTTTTAATATACAAGGCAAATAAATAGATTTATGAGCTAGTCTTGCCTGATATAAATAGTCCTTAGTGCCATTACTTCGATTCGACGTCACAGCGATCAAAGACCTTAAAAATCCGTCTCGGAGGATATTGCTTGTATGTATTCTTCAGCTATTCCTTCCTCGTCTGAAGAGTCCTTGGTCTTGTTCTTCTCCTCCTGAGTGGATGTGTTGTGGGACTCAATGGCCCTGATACGGTTGTTTGGGCATTGACGACTCTGATGCCCGGGTTTGTGACATCTGAAACACAGCTTCTTGTCCATGTGTTCCTTGTGATCTTTGTCTGACAGATGTCTGATCTGTTGATCCTTAGATGATCCTTCCCCTGTTTCGATTGCTCAGTTACGACGTACAAATCTACCGCGATTTTGACCAAAAGATTGATTAGTAGATGTCATAAAAAGAGGTTTGTCACTGAAGATGTCGATCATAGATTGACAGATAGATTGGACACTGTTCAGGTATCCTATGGCAGTGATCGGTAGCGGTGGTTGGGCGGCAATCTTGAGAAGAAGGGTAGGGGGAATGAGGCGTTGGAGTTCTCAGATTTGCCCTAATTTGTTTAGTCCACTGGCTTGTAGGAGGGGTCAAAGAGTAGTAACAAATCAGAGGCCATTTCCTCCGCACTTGTCCCAGGTGCACTTGCTAATCTCATTTAAGGCTGCCTGGGTGTCCTCTTTGACTCCAAAGGTTTGAGTGAAGGATTTCTTGAATTTAGCCCAACTGGGTAGTCCTGTAAGCGGCGCATCATCATCATCAGAGATGGGTCTTTGGGCATCAGTGATGATCGTGTGAATGAAGAATTGGGCGGGACCCTTGATGTAGGAGAGAGCACATTGAACTTTATCTTTATCGGTTTGGATCTTCTTGGAGTTTCCTTCGAAGTATAGATATAGTTCGTTTAAGAATTCTTTGCTCTTTCCTTTGTCTCCTTCGAACTGGTTAGGCTTGTTTACTGCTCCACTGTTGTTATCCAACATATCTTCTTCGTCTTCTTGATCGCTGGGTTCTGTGTTTCCGTCTTCTGGGTTGTTTGGGATTCTGTCAGTGGGTTCTTCCTGAGGGGTGGTGTCGACTGGAGTCCTGGGTGGATCTGGTTTGGGTTGTGTTGCGACAGGTACTGGGTGCTGTTCCTCTGTTGGAACTGTTGGGTTGACTGGTTCCGGGGGATCCCAGATTCCTGAGAAGATACTGGCTCTGAGTGTGGGACTGGTGTCTGTTGATTCACTAGGCAGGGGTTTGGTCGTCAACTGGAGTGGTGATGTGCACGGTGTAGGAGCTATTACACTTCTGCTGGATGACGCAGCAGTGGGAGTGAGGTATGATGGTACTGGTAAAGATTTCTCCGCAAGCAGGGGTACTACTGAGTGACGATCGTCTTTGCTTCCGATAGGTGCTAAGATTGGTGTTGCCTTGGGAAGGGTTCTGTCTCTACTTCTGTTAGGACAAAGTGCACTTGCACAATACTGATAGACGGATCCGTTGAACCGCTGATCGGTTCTTTCGTTTTTGTTGTAGACGTGGATTTTACTGAAACAAAGGAGATTTCTCGCCTGTGACCTGGTTACTGTTGGTTGTCCTACTGTTGAAGCCACTGTGGCTTTACTGCGACTAGGAACTAGTGATCCTAGGAGAGTTTTGTCCTAGTGTTAAGG